AAACCTTTTTTGTCAAAATGAGTGTTTTAGCTGTTTGAGAATAAAAAGTCGTTTTTATATCGATGGCTGTGCACTTAGCCTCGCTTTGAAACAGAGGCTTGGGGCAATTTGAAAAGAGCTTATTAAAGGGACACTGCCCCGATTGTGCGCGAGCGTCATTTGATTTTTCTTCAAAAGACAACAGTACTGTCATGTTGACTCTACAAGATATCCTTCCGGTCCTCACCGCCGACGGAGATTTGTTGTTTACATTCCCAAGTAATATTTTAGACTTTCGAAGAAGTTTTTCGTCTTATTTAAAATTTGGCTCGCGGCACGAAGACTCATCGCGATTTTTTCGCTAGCAGGGCCACCTCGCGACCCAAAAAAAGGCGTTCCGCTCGCTTTAAAATAGCTTTTCTGATGTGAAACTCGTGTCAGAGGTCAATTGTTCCAAGTCCAGTAATATTTGGCTGATTTTCTCGCGTTCTAGCCTCAAATGTTTGAGAGATATAAATAAAAATGCAATCTCAACGCCATGAATTATCGCAAAGGTTAGTCAAAAATTGTATTATGATTTCATTGCACTAGTTTTTCTAAACATGTAGCGCCTGTTTGTTTGAGTTTGTCGGCCTTAGGGAAGTTAATTTAAAAGTTTACAAACTCGTCGTTGCAAAACATTCTGCTTCACGAAGCTTAATTCGACAAGATCTCCTCAGTCACATCCATGTCTCAATAGTTTCTTTCTTACAGTCTCTATTGTTGCTGTTTCATTTCTGCGTATTCCTTTCACAATTTCTTAGCTTGCATGAAAGCTGGCGGAAGAAGAAAGCCTTTAATCGGCATCAAAGCGCTTCCCATCTTTTGGTCCTTTGGCCAACGGCAATAAAAATAACGCCAACAAATCCCGATTTTGCCGAAATCGAAACTCAGCGGGAACAATATATCATTGATCTGTAATCTGAGAAGTTTTAGTGCAGTATCGAACTCGGCTAAGCGCGATGCAAACAGATTTTTCAAGGTTCTCTTACTCTCCTCGCATCTTTTGATTTCACCACATCCCGTCGAAAAATCAAAGTTTGGTGCATGCGCAGCAACGGTATACTGTTCCTTTAAATAATTAGCAATCATTGAATGAGGCTGAGTAGGATGTGAAGAATTATGCAGTTCGAAGAGGATGTTATCCACTGAGGCTGAAGGCAGAGATGGATAACATCCTCAAAAATAAACATGGTAAAACTGGATTCTTCGGGGAAAACTAACTCTGAGCCCTCATGCAGCGAGAACAAGGTTCGTCAAACCTCGGTACACAGGATGGATCTCACTAACTGTGACTACTGACAGCAGACACTCCAAACTTCTTGAACCAGCGTAAAATCTTTAACTTTGCTCACTCGAGAACCAAAACATAACCAACGTATCTTAACTGGTCACTTGAAAAGAACTGAAAAATCAAAGGATACCACCTAAATGTTCTTTTGACTAAAATTACCCAATTGTAATCGCAAGTGTCCGTTACAAGTATAGGCACGGAAGCACAATTTTATTTGAATAACTTGTAGGAAAAGTGTCCAGGGACGTTGAGAAACAACAAGGAATTAAGATGGCTTGGTTCCTTGATTATAATATTATCAAAAAGAATAACTGCGCTTGACTGAATAAATGCTAAGAAATATAAAAAAGTCCGAAAAGTGTAAAACTTTTATAATTTCTCCCGTGACAATTTCCGGCATGGTTTCACGATATAAAAGGATTTTTTCCCTTGTAGATAGTCCTAAAAATTAGATAACATCCATCGAGGAATGTTTGCATATTCTTGCATTTCTTCCCCTGAGTTGGTTAGAAATTCCGCTATTTCGTCTTCGGATAGCCCTGAACACCATTTTCTATTTTAGCCCACTCAGGAATAAACGGCTAGGCTGCCGCGTCTGCTAACGAGCTTAGTCGATGGTATGTCACAATTTATAATCCACTGATTAATTTTCGCATGATTTAATTGGCTATTTTGGGTCGCGTGGAACCATATCGGAGAGTGGGTATCAAGTAATACACCCCGTCCGCTTCGATATTTCCCCTACGATTTTTTGGTGGCAAGAAAGCATGACAAAGTCAGCAATTTGAGTCTCCGTTCAGTTTCATCTTCTCTAACAATATCAAATGGAAGCGGTGAAAATAAATTTGTTTTGTATAATCCAGTTACACTAAACTTATGAGATAGTCGCAACTGACAGTTCAGGAAAATATAAAGAAATCAAGGAATAAAATAAGCTTATGCTTCGAAGATGAGCAAAATTTACGAATTAATATTAATCAAAGCTCTTTTATATTAATGCATTGCAACAGAAACTTGCATATAGTATTTTAGGCAGTGGCAGCTCTCAGCTATGGACAAGAATACTCCAAGGTGTTTAAAATAAGCCATTTTTGTCTTTCAGCATGGCGAAAAGAGAGAAAAATGCGTAACGTGCTATGCTAATATACTTGTCTTCGTGAATAACAGTTGCTGTGTTTTAAAATGTCTCATTGAATTATATTTCCTGTCTTGATTGTTCATCAAAATCTCTTTCTTATCGCTTTGTCGGTTGCTTTCAGTCGTACATGAACATCCCATGCAGGATTACTCAAAATGACACGTGTATCAAATGGTTTTAAAGATTATGGCTGTACTCTAGAAGTAAAATTAAAACGAAAATGATTCCGAGCCTTCCTAAATACTACTAGGTTTTTTCGATTTTTTAAATAAATACTTTTTTATTTTGTTTTCATTTTTATAATTTGCTGTGCAAGGGAAGTGTGTGCCTCGATCGTCCTGAACTTGAATGAGTTCAATTAAATTTGAAGTTGCAAGATTTTTCAGTGGAAAATAGGGGAAAAAACTGACGTAAATTCTGTTCGAGGTCTGAGCGAGAAACTACAGTAACAACGCCAGACAGTTTTGTTTACTTCAGAGCTGATGTGAATAAGCTTGTTTACGCGCTTCTTGGTTTGTAAGCTAACTTGTAACGGCCCGCACACACAAAAAAATCTGGCCTTATTATTTTATCTCTGCCTATTCTTTAGACAGAAACATAACACTGGTAAGTTAGAACGGGTGAATTGGCTGCCACTAAGGACTATCGTGTCTTAACCGCCCTTAAATCATAAAACTATATTTCGGGACTGTCCTATTAATCTTTATAAAAATAGGCAGTGTAAGTAGGCGATTTGGTTATTTTGTTTTGGAAGAATTTGTTTTCCACGCCTAATCTACAGTGATCAAAGGTTATTTCTATTCTTGGGGGTGTATGTGCAGCTGTTTTATTGCTGCGCTTTTCACAAACACGCGAACTCTAAAGTTCCAAAGCCGCCTTCACAAATGCGTTTTACGCTGCCGTCAATCATAGTTATGATCACATGCAACGAACCTTGAAACTCAGAAACACACAAAACTTATCGAAATCCACCAATCACAGATCACAAACCATGATATTTGAACCCGTTTAAGTAAGGTTCTATTTCCCAAGAGGTCCGCTAAGATGATTGACGGCACCGGAAAACTCAAACGTCAGTTGGCTTTTGAACTTCAGAGTTCGCGTGTTTTTGAAAAGCGCAGTAAGCCTTTTAACATGATGAAAGATTTCAGATGTTGTTTCATTCTTGCACTGTTTTTAAATTATGTTTTGTCTAAAATCACCCAGCCCCACCCTCAAATGTAAATACATAGATCTCCCCTAAAGTTAACTGATTAGTGGATTACAAGTTTATTGCTTGGTTGAAATGATGATATTTATTAACTGGAGCTACGCTTTTAGCCCTGACTAAATCTATTAATATATTGCCGTCTATTGTGACGTCTTGCCCATCCGTTCATTTTCACATCTGATCAGAATTTGTTATTTGAAAACTTTTTTTAACGTTCTCCCAGCAAAACGTGTACTATATATACCGTATGTTCTCATAATAGTGCTCCGGTTCCCTGTGTGAGAAATTTGCGGATAGCTGACTCCTTCTGGGCTCATAGAAAACGTCGTTTTGATGTACATTCCTAATATGTGATTGGCCATTCATCCAAGTAAAAGTTTATGCAGATAGTCTCTTGTGATTTCCTTCTAGTATCTAGTCATGTGACCAAGCCTTATTCTATTTCTATGATCACTGAAATATGAGCTCAACAGGCCGAGGTCTTGACAGCATGAGATTATTCTCTCTTGCTTTACAGTATTTGCTCAGACGCAAAGATATTACGTACTTGGTGGAGACGTATTCCAACTTCGGCTCGCTAGATTTTTCGTCTTTAACACAGGAAAAATTACTTTGAGATCCTATGAGCATGTAATTCCCGGGACCTTGTCCATCTTTATCCCATGCACAAACCTGAGGGGAATGGAGGTCGCACTAAGTACTGAGTGATGAGAAACAACCTCAGTCTGAAAATTTTGCGTTTGTTCTCTTTACATAATAGTGTGATGATCAAACGTCAAGGACCATTCGGAGGTAATGCTTTTATGAAGCTTTTAAATCTTTACAATGACGTAATGGAACTTTTTCTGTGACCAGAAGCTTACCTAGGTAGGGCAAAATTTCAGTTGCCTCAAGTCAAGAAGGAATGCTGTTTTAGATCACCAATTTTTAAAAAAAATAAGACTATTGCCAAACGAAAAGCGTAAAACCTGAAACCTTTAGTTTTGGGTTTGCAACTTAATGAGACGTTAATTCATTAATCTCAAAAAAGCCCTTGATACTGTGAATTACGCGACACTTTTGCGCACATAGAACTTCTATTATCTCATTTTCTCTTGACTTGCTTCATTCTAGAAGCAGATTGCTGCTTTGTCATGCATGTTTTTGTTCCAGATCTCATTCTGAAATTCAGAATGAATTTTTGAATTTTTTGGTTTGTAGTCGTGGTTTTGCCTTTTTCAGAGCATCAAAGCATCATCTTAACAAGGTTATTTACCGACAATTGGAGAGATAGCTTTTTACCATTTTAGTTACGTCCTTTTCTCATTGTCAAGAATTCTCATCATTCGTAAAGGAAGCTTTTAAATACTTACAGCTACATTATCACCGGTACACTGACCATCACTCGGGCCTATGGAGAAGGAGCGACAAGGACTGTAACCGTACCTCCAATTTCGCGTGCCGTCCACGTAAAAAACCCTGTTTTAAAATCAGTAATTAAGAACAGTTTCTCTTATTTTTGGTGTATAAATAACTAGTTTTGCATTTATTATAGACTTAAAGATATTGATTATATACATACCGAGGGATGTCAGTAAAACGCGGGGTCGGGTTCTACCGTGTATGTTTTTTTTAAAAAGAATGGTGTTCAAGGGCTGGGTTTAGGGTTAAGGTTAGGATGTATACTAACCCTAACTCTAACTCTAAAAAAAAAAAAAGATAGACCCCGACTTTACGGACACCCCATACTGAGAAATGCTGAACAAAAAGCTAGCTCGTAAAGTGTTCATAAGCAAATGAATTCTAGTCAATCAGAAGAGCGAACGATGATTTTCACACGTGTAGCTAGGAGAAAATGATACGTGCAATAAGAATCGCTCACGATGTTTTTACCGGCATGTGAGAAAAATGATGTGTCCAATCAGAAGCCACAAAGGTGTGTGTTTCGCGCAAAAATTCCCGCTTTTTATAGGCGCTTGCAGCTAAATATTATTTCTTAATCAAAATGATTTTAGAAGGAAGAATTATTGATGTAAAATTGAGCAGTTTTTCATCTGATTTCCAAACACTCATTTAACATTACTTTCCTATGTATTTTCTTTATGAATTATTAATTAGTTTGAGAAGAGAAAAGTTTGTTACAAATATTTAATCGGATAAAGAAGACAGGGCGTTAAGAGGTCTTATCCCCTGTAAGTAATCTACTGCTAGATTACGTTTACGTTATATTGGAAATTTGACCCAGTTTACTCAGAACTACTGGAATGCTACCTTACGTTAATGCCGTTAATGCTTTACAAACCTCGGATCGTCACCTTCATCTGTTTGCAGAGGAGCCAGGTTATACACTTTGTCTCCATAAGAGCACGAACATTTGTAATGATAAGCTTGCAGGCGGAAAGAAACGTCAAGGTTTTAGTTTTAGACAAAATATCGAGTAAAATGACATGCGTAGAAACAGGGACGAAAATGACCAAGGGGGGACGGCGAAGAGGGGACGGAGTGGTAAAATTTTTATCAACTGAGACTTTCAAGCGAGTGTAGCTAAATGTCGTGGGTCGTGGGTGTGGTTCGTGGGTGTGGGTGTGGGTAAATGTCGTGGGTAAAAAAAGTATAGAAAAAATGATAAAGTAAAGTTAAGCAATTGAAAAAAAAAAGAAGGAAATAAATAGAAAAAAGTTGTAAAATATTTATCGAAAATCTCAAACTCCTTAATTGCCTTTTTCGTCACGGCTTCTTCGTCCTTTTTCCTGATATTTCCTTAGCTACGTGGGACTACTTGGCTCCCCTTTCACAACATCACTGTATGAAAGGCATGTTGCCGATGAAGAGTTATCCTTACCTGAGCTATCGCCGCGAAATGAACGAAGCAGACTTAAATAACACCTGCAATTTGCAGAAAGTATGAGACAGCTCTGAATCGCTGAATGGAAATAGCTGCTCTTTATTAATCTTTATTCGATCTACAATTCCAATGATCAGCAGAGATCTTTTAACACGATGGAATGCGATCACCGTGAGAAAGGGGAGGGAAAAAAAAATACAATTTTGAGGTATTTCATATCTTTGGATAGAAGTCTTCTTTCTTAAAGAAGTTTTAGGTCTCTCACCTTACGAAGGAACTACCATCATTCCTAACCTTTCAAGTTAATGCGAGTCTGTATGTAAATTTTATTGCCGTACGGAAATACAATTTTTTCGATTTTTTTTGTTTTGTTTTGCGTACAAAATCTTTGCTGTAGCGATTCGACATATCATTCCTTAAACTGAAAGGACGTTTCAGTCACGAATGTTGACATCTTTACGAAAAAAGCAGTTCAGTCTCCAGTTTTTCTATAGCCTGCTTCAGGTTTACATAGTATAAAGAGTTTTTTTTCGGTAATTTTTCACCTAAATGCCATTTTAGTGTTTGTTTGCACTGAAGGATTCGCTTATTAGCTTTGCCGACCGCGGGGAAGGGGAATAGGACTGGTATGTACGCAGACATTTTCGTTTCATGAATTTTACAACTTTTTGCTATTTAATTTTTAATCTTTTACTTTGTTTGGAAGATATTTTTTTACCCACGACATTTACCCACACCCACAACCACGATCCACGACCCACGACCCACACCCACGACCTCTACCCACTACCCACGACCCACGAAATTTTGCTACACTCCTTTCAAGCAAGTCTTACTGTGAACACATGAAAAATTTCAGGAATGTTGATTGTGTGGTGACCAATCACAATAAACTTCAAGACACGCGAGCAAACCTCGAAACCACAAACTAACTACCGTTGCTGTTTGCGGTTTGGTTTTCTCATGCCTTATTGGCTATTTCGTCGCAACACAATAACATTCCATAAATATTTCTGGTGTTCACGGTTTTCTGAGTTTCACAGTAAGCTACGCCAAGAAAGTAACAACAAAAATCGACAAACAAGCTTAGAGAGAGGGAGAAATTACAGAGTACCAGCCAGCTCTCCTTTTTAAAAATCTAGACAGGTAAATCAAATTAATATTTTATATCATGGTATTTAAGCACGTCTTACCATCGTCTTTGTTAAAGAAAGTATGAAAAATGTTATTCAGTATGTATTTCGAACATTTTTGAAACTGCCTTTTTAAAGGGTTCGTGCGGTTCGTGTGGAGTTTGCGGCGGTTTCAAAAGTATCAGGATTCGTGTGAACGGGACCCAAGCTTGTTTATTTTGATTTCCCAATTCAGGCCACGAGTTTCTCTTTAGATAATTCATAAGTCTCTTTTTTCCAAGACGTTAATGTTCGTGAATAGTACGACATTTGAACGAAACATTTCTCTCGTGATCGGAAACGTGGGAAAAGAAAACAAACAAAAAATTACACAAGGACTTATTTCACATTTTATCCACCTTTATTACCCGGCAAGGGGAGGGCGGGCGGGCGGGTTCAACATCAGTGTCTCTTTTTCAAGAGCTGTTTGAAACAATCAATATAGTTAACACTTAAATATAGTCTTACTTCTGCTCCCGCTGGCATCTGTTCCTGGAGACTGATGGGGACTAAACAGTAACGTTGGAAACAAGGCACATCGTATCCAATTAACTGGTAGCATGGTACTAAAAATTATTCAAAATACATAAAGCAGAACTGAAGTTATCATCTGGCTGTACATGCACTGGTTTGACCTGTAATAAGAGAAAAGTAACTGGAACGATGAACGCGTCGAGATTATTTCAAAACCTACTACCCACCATACTTCGTCAAACGTTAACTTCTAAATCACTAGCTGAAGGCAAGTAATTTCTTTCTTTTCTTGCACTTTACTGCCATTTGCGTTTATTACCATATCTTCAAGGTATTCATTTTATTCTGTTTGTTGTCAACCTAACTCAATGCCGGTTATCCTTTCATATACGTCATTTACCGGCCTCGAAAAATAGAGTATTATGCTTTCGGGCGTCACCCGGGAAACTAGGGTATTATGCTCAAAATTATGCTCGACTGGAGGTATTATGCTCAAATTATGCCGGACTAAAATGACACTCCCCCCCACCCCCATAGGCCTGTATCTATTAATAAACATTCCTAGTCTTTCATTTTTGAAAGAATTGTTAAACAATAATTATTCAGTTAAACATTTGATGAGCAAGCGAAAGGTCGGAAATTGTGAGGCATTGAAAGGCTTACTATATGTCTTTCTTCAATGAATAGCAAAATGCACTGGGTACGAGTCTAACGTATCAAGTTAAAATATTCCCACTTTTATCAACTTTGTACATTCTAGAGCGTCCCTAAGAGTAAGAGCGAGTTGCTGGCAGAATTTGCATACAACTCTCACAGTTTTCAGTTTTCATAAACAGAGGTATTATGCTCCAAAAATATTAGTATTATGCCAGCATTATGCCTGATGCCCCAGATATAGTATTATGCTCAAAATTATGCCGGCATAATCCGACAGACCCTATAGTGTGAACAGCTATCCGATTAAGAGATGGGGCAGTTTCAAATTCGCTCCGTTACAGAGGTTGCGCCGATATCACCGTTCTTATGTGTGAACAGAAGCCCTATCGGGTGTGGTTTTTCGCAAAGTCAATCCAGTATAGTGCGAACAAAGGCTTAAGATTCAAACGCGTAAAGAATAGGGCAATAACCCACATTATCAAAATTTCCAGATGTCTCCGAGGGTTTAGCGGCAAAGTTGCAAAATTTGCACCATTGTCTCGCATTTCGCAGAAGAGGCTTGAGCACAAAGACAACCAACCCAAATATAGAAATATGACCAGAAAGTCGGTTCGGAGTCGTGTTAAAATTTTTTAAAAGATATCGACTGTGCGCAGTTCTCAGAGTAAATCACTCACCCTTAAGCCACTGGTTAACCCTACCTGGTTCAGCTTTTCGATAAAGTAATGCACCCTAGTTTTTTTAAAAGGCTTTTCCATGTTAAAATCAAATAAACCATTTTAAAAACTTGGTTTTCGCCATTGAGACCACGTGATGTCCTCAAGGAAATTTGCCTTTTGTGTTTTCATAAATTATGCATACATATATTATGCGAGTATTGGATATTGCCCTTCAGCACTGTAGCATGTTTGAAAGCGAAGCCCCTTCATTGTCGCCGATTGTAGATCTTTCTTTTGTTTCCGTCTACTAACTTATTGGTTTACAGCCGTATTTAAGACGAATTCCTTTTAAGTCTTTCTTTTTTCATTCAGCCTAAGTGAATAAAACCATCCGTCGTGATCAAATTTAAGTGATCAAGCATCACAACAAAACCTAGGATCCACTGGTACGGGTAGATGCATATAATTACCAAGATATTGTTATCGGCAAACCACAAGAACCGTTGTAAACAGGGGCAGCCAACCACGGATTAGAAAATATGATGGAGAGAGGAATCAGAATATGTCTTACTGTCGTAAAACTTTAAATTGCATTTAAAATTTTTCGGGAAAATAAATTTACTGAAGCCCTTGTAATTTCGAAAGGACTCAAGTTGCCCTAGGATGACGGAACAGATACAAATTTAATAGCGCCGCTTACACTGCCGTTTCTAGACATCTAAAAGTACTCTGAATAGCCTAAAATACATTTAAGAGGAACCTTCGTTGGGTGTCCCTGTGTAAATACTTTAGAGATCACTAAATATCGATCAATCTTCGCTATAGAGGAAGCCTATGGACGAATATTACTACGATGAACACGAACGAGGAACTGTGCTTGTTTGATAATGATGTTTTTGGTCGAACGGTTTTCTTGTTTTGATAAATCGAGCTAGTCGCCTACGCCGCGTCTGTTGATGATACAAATTAGAATCGGTCGACGTACGTCTTTCTACCTTTTTGAACGAGACATAAAAAAAAGAAATCCTTGCGACTGAGACCAAGTGGCGCTCTTTCCTACCTCAAAAGTATCCCCAGTTTTGCTTTTCACACCACACTTTCTGCATCCAGTCTGTAAATATTTCTTCTTGGAAAACAGGACCGTTCTCAAATGGAAGAAATTCAACTTCCTTCTTGCGACCCAGAGACGGACATAACTCGTTACAGGAAAGGGTCTCGGGAAAGTCCCTTAGTATCACGTGATAAACAAATCACATTGCTCTCCTATTGTAAATAAATATAGAATAACTTCTGGAAAGAGACATTAAGGAAAACTGAGATTATACTAGTTAAGAAATCTACGTATTACCTTTTTTTGCATTCTGAAGAAGTAAAGTATAATTCGAGAGGCTAGGCCTTGTCGGCTTTTTAAAGAACTGTAAAATAATTTAAATTTCTAGTTCACTGCTTTCAAGAGCATATTAAGATTAAAGATTGATCGCATGTCACTATCATTGCCCCACCAGTAACCGCAGAGTATTATAGTTAATAACCGTTCATTTATACGTCGCTGAAACACCGGATGTTGTAGCAGTATTTTTCGTTTTATATAATACAATCATGGTGACCGTTTTTCGATATCTTTCCTAATGTTCTTAAGACTCAAAGGTTTGAGATAAATCTATTTGAGCTACCTCAGCTCTGCTTCTTGGTCATGTAGAAAAAAAAATTCCTGCCTTATTTTTATTTACTTGCGTAGCCTCACGGTGTATAACATGAAGATTATTTCTCAGCAGCTATCAATTTCGCACTATTACAGAGTAAGAAATCGCAAGGATTTTGTTTCCAAGAATCGGATAATTCGAACAGCAAATTGACCTGAACGAACTGAAAAATTTACTTGACAAGTTAAATTGGCCACCTTAGGAAATTCAATGAAACAAACCTTAGATAAAACTAAGACAAATTTAAAGCATAAGCTGGAGGTAGAAGACGTTAGAAGTCAGTCAAAGTGAGCCGCTAGTTAAAAAATGTCATGTGATGTCCCGGGAAGAGACTGCGAAAGCAAACATCAACGAATGTAAAGGAAGCTTAACGTAAGAGGTGAGTAACATCTATTGGTTTAGCTACGTTACAAGAAATCTTATGGAAATATTTTATATAGGCACTAATACTCGAAACAACAAAAAGAACCAACCGCGACGAATCCACCGAAACAATCGCAACGGCCGAACCGAACATACCGTCGAAACTAATCATCGGAAATGCAAAAGCTGCTAAAAAAACCCCGCAAATTGCAAAGGAAGAAACCAAACCACTGCAAACAAGCAAATAAACAAAAAGGAACCGCCGAATAAATCGAAACGAGCAGAATAGCAGGATAGCAGTGTTCGTTAAGGGGGAGATCATTGTAACACTTGAGTAAATCGAGCCACGATATATGTACTAGCTACTCAAGAATGTTCTTATATTTTGGAAGTAGTTAGCAAACTAGATACCAAAACAAGTCTAAACACGTAAATAACGAGATTTAAAAAAACGTAAAAATAAATAAGTAAAACCCAAGGCAAGATTATCGAGGCAAAGGTTCTGGAGCGGGATGTAACTTATTCTGGGAAATGAAACAAACTTCTGACTAAAGGTCTACTGAATAATAGGAATGAATACAGGTTATGAAACTTCAGATTTGCCTGGAATTGAGACAACTATTTGCTGCTATGTTGCGTTACCTAACATAATTCATTATGATTATCCAGAAAACCTTTTAAATGGAAGCTCATCGACCATACTCAATATTACGATGCTGTCAGTAGGGTTCAATAAATTAAGTTCCAAATCCATGGCTTATTCTGTCTGCTAGCAATGCTTATAAAAATTGCAAATTCTGCTCTAATTGAAGTCTGCCTTAATAATAAGTATAGAAGGGGTTCTAGGGTCTAAATAAAAAATTTGATGTTCATTTGCACAAATTGCAAAAATTGTAACTTAACTTTCTTTGTACAAAACTATGCACCTTAGTCGAAACGGGTAAGTCACTAAAAGGTAATTAAAATGTAATGGAATCACGTGAGCATTTAGCCAATAATCGCATTATTCTCAGATATTTTCTATTCTAGGATTTGCTCTTCTTATGCATATCACTAGTGGTGCTGATTTTCGTTTGGTTGCAGCACCAGTCATGCTCTCGAAGATCTTGCTGAGGTGTTTTCTAGAAATGGTGTTCATGCATATTTGTCGGAGAGCTAAGGGGAACAAAACGATTCCAACCTCTTTAAACTGTGATTGTACGTGCCTTGGTCTAGATGACAAGACATATAACTTCGCTCCACTGGCAAGAGATTCTGGGAAACCAAGGTTTGCAAAATACTCGGCAAAATAACGCTAAATAAATCCCGAACTTCGTGAATTCTGGGTTTGCTCCAGGCCGCGCTCAAGGACGTCCTATAGTTTTAAAGTAATATTGAATTTTATTCGTTCCATATTCCTTGTAGATCTTGCTGCGTTTTAGGTTTGCACCACTGAAATTGATTGTCAGTCATTTTATGGCTGAGAGATATTGTTAAAGTGCGGGTGAGTCAAGTGTCCCGTTGGGCTTTGATGGTAAATTTCCGACTTACAGCAAACATAACTTGTCAGATGTTAAATTTTCAATCAGGTTCACAGCAACAGATGCACATGGTGAGTGGAGGTACAGTTATAACCCGTGCCTACCTTTCTCGCTGGGCTGGCCACCAGACCATGGATGCGTTATTGATGTAGTGGTAAATGGTTTTTATACTTTTTAGCTGACTAGACAGTAAGACATTAAGTGTACACTGACAACGACAGTGCCGGATCCAAATTGGGGGG